AGACTATGGCACCAAGAGACTGCACCATTGCAAGTTCTACTAGTGATGTAGAGCTATGTATATGTAGCTTTTTGTAATTGGATAGTTTTACATAATGTAATGGGTTCCAGGTTTATTCATGTAGTATATATCTGTACTTAATTTCTTTTTATGGTTGCATGATATTCCATAGTATGGACATGTCATATTTTGTTTAAATTTTTCAATGGTCAGTGAAACACCTTTTGATAGAGGAATGGTTAATTATACCTCTGTGTACTTATATCCCACTAGTAATTTATTTTTAGATTAAATTAGAATTTTTTTCTTTTTACACCATGTAGCTCAGGCAGGTGTTGAACTTGTGACCTTCCTGCTTGAGCCCTATAGACTGCTGAGGCTGTAGGCATGTGCCTGTCACAGCCAGCATTCCACTAGTAATTTAGATTCACTGTGGAGAATTTGAGGGAGAATGACTGTCAGTCAGAGTGCAGTAGCAGGATTTGGGATGCACATGCACAGCTGTCCAGCGAGGAGTCTGAGCTTTAAACATTGCTATGCTTTCCCGAGAAAGAGGAACATTTATTTATCTATTTGTTTGTTTGTTTGTTTTCAATTTCTGAGACTCGGTCTAACAGTGTAGACCAATTTTTCTTCAAGCTCCTGATTGTTGTGCTTTAGTCTGCCAAGTGCTGGGCTTATAGATGTATGTATCACCAAGCCTGGCAAGGAAATTTTAAAACAGCAGTTGCATCTTTATGCTAACAGAAATTTATTCAACCTAGAAAAGCAGGATCATGCAATCTTAGGGGTTGTCTTAGTTAGGGTTTCCATTGCTGTGAAGAGACACCATGACCACATAAAATCTTATAAAGGAAAACATTTACTTGGGGCTGGCTTACGGTTTCAGTTTGGTCCGTTATTATCATGGTGAAAAGCATGGTGGCCTGCAGGCAGACATGGTGCTGGAGAAGGAGCTGAGAGTACTACATCCTGATCTGACCGCAGCAGGACGTGAACTTGGCTTGAGCTTCTGAGACCCCAAAGCCTGCCCTTTAGCCACACCTACTCCAAGGCCACACCTACTCCAAGGCCACACCTACTAGTGCCACTCCCTATGGACCCTATGGGGGCCATTTTTATTCAGAACACCACAGGAGTGTTAGTATTTTATATCAGCCCACTAATTGGCATACATTATACATAAAAGAATTTCAGATTACATCTGACAGAAACTTTGTTGTCTTGTTTTTTGGGTGTTGAAATTTTAGGCATTTGTCACCAAGCCAGGGATGAGAGAAGCTTTAATTCTTCATACTGACCTTGCAAATTCAATTGATAATACTAAGTCTTGTGTATTAGGCATATAAATTGGGGTAAAGGAATAAACACAGGAAATACATATTTTAAACATAACAGACACGTACTATAGCTTTCAGAGTTCATTCTATGAAACAAACACTATTCACAATTTCAGAGAGGCCATTTACATAGGATATTGGTAATGATAAAATTATTGGATTAGGTGAAAACAGAAGATCAGGGTCATTGTCAAGGTGCATCAGATGTGGGATCAGTAGTTCCCAGCTGGCTATCTTGGACCAGGTGGAAACTGCCTCATTGCCCCCCCCCCCACCAAAAACAAAAGAGGGTAATGGGTGGTCTGGAAGAATTAGAATTGAGGTCATTTTTTAGTTAATATATTCAAGAAGATAGGCCCATACTTATGTCCTAGAGATCAGGAAGTTGAAACTGTCAGGTTGCTGTAAGTACTCCAAATCTGGGGTCACAGTTGCTGCTGGTGGCAGTAGCTTCTAAACATGGGGATCCTCCTGCTCACCAACTCACCACTTAGCTCAGCAGTGAGACTTGTAGGAGATGCTTACTCAGAGACCTGTTTACATTCCAAATGTTAACTGCAAGAAAAGATCTGGAAAATGTAGGGGATATTTTTGAAGTACAGGAAAGTATGCATGTCTAGGTAGTGTGAATATTTTTCTGTTGTTTGGCTACAAGGCTTTGCATGCAGTATTTTGAAGGTGGTAAGATTAAAAAATCTTAGACTTGATGTGTTCTGAAATGTTATGCTAAATGTGAACAGCTAATTTTGTTTATATAAAGTGATTTTTTTTTCAGGTCTAATGTTTTCAGTTGGAAGTGAGCTGTTTGTAAACAAAACAAAACCTTTTATAGTATGTTTCCTGTTTGTTGTGAATGCCTGAAGTATGCCTGTGGCTGTAACTGTAAAATCTTCAGTTTTCTCTCTTACTGATGGGTTTTATATAGTTGAATTAATGCACACTTTGTATCTTTTTTCTGCTTGGCTTTGTAAAGTGGTTGCAAAGTGTGTATGCATACGTGTTTGTGTGTGTGCGCATGCATGTGCAACAGCATGTATGTACAGGTGAGAAGACAACCTCAGGTGTCAGTCCTGTCTTTCTGTCTTGCCTGAGTTGGGGTCTCTTGTTCATAGGCTGCCTGGCTTGTGAGTTTTCTTGGGCTTTGCCTATCTCTGTAGGAACATTGAGAACATTGGTTCCTCATGCTTGAGCAAGCATGCTTTGCTGCGCCATCTCTACTTCCTATGCTTTATTTTTTAAATTCACTTAATCTTTATTATCTTGCTAAAATGCAATAGGGTGTGATAATCTTCAAAAATAATGTGTGCTAGGCCAGATGTGGTAGCCCATACCTTTAATACCGGTACTCTGCAGCAGAGGCAGATGGTTTTCTGAGTTTCAGGCCAGTCTGGTCTATAGATAAAGTTCCAGGACACCGAGGGCTACATAGAGAAATCCTGTCTCCAAAAAAAAAAAAAAAAAAAAGTGAACTTAGAATTAGCAAGTCTTACCCAAACTAAACTGGGAAAATGTTTGCTTTTATTATTTATCTATTTCTGAGATTTGTTTTATTTTATGTGTATGAGTGTTTTGCATCAGATCTCCTGGAACTGGAGTTACAGATGATTATGAACCATCATGTGGGTTTTGGGAATTGAACTTGGGTCCTCTGAAAGAACAAGAGCCCTTAACTGCTGAGCCATCTCTCCAGCCTGTTTTTTTTTTTTTTTTTTTGGTCATGTTCAATTTTAAATATTTCCCTTACAATGTTTTGCTAGTGCACTAAAAGTTTGTGTGTGTGTGTGTGTGTGTGTGTGTGTACACATACCTATACATGTGTGTCTGCCTATCTGTCTTGGAGAGGAAGGGTGGATTTTGAGTGTGCCATAGCATGCATGTGAAGGTCAGAGGACAATTTACAAAAGTTCTCTTCTATCAAGTGGGTCCTAGGGATGCAACTCTGATTGTCAGGCGTGGTGGCAATCACTTTTACTAATAGCTACAAGGCTGGAACTAAGTAGATTGTAAAAATAGTTAGGAGAGATCTTGGTTTGGACTTGAACAACAAGCAGAAAGACAGGAGCCAAGAATGATAATAGTGCTTTTTGCTTTGGAAACAAGGTAGAAGAAAGAGAATGTAATAAAATAAGGTGGATGGAACTGAGGATGCATTTGATCCCAAGAGTGAAAACTGCCCTCAGCGAGCTCTACTCAGCTTGTACCTGAAATTCCTATCATTAGTATTTCTCTTGGGTTAAAATACTGTCTTTTCAGGAGTCCTGTTAAAAATGTAGTTATCTCTGAAGGGATAAACTTTTGATCTGTTACTGTAGTGCTCATATTTTCAGATCGTTAGCCTTTATTTTGGCTATCGAATTCAGATAGAAATTTAAGAAAGATTAAGTTTAGAAAACATGACACTGTCCCAAAGGGTGAGAGTAAAGAGGAATATTAGATTTGGAGCCTGGATTGGAAGTGGGTCATAATGAGTTAGGGGAGCAAAGGGATCCTGTCACCCAAAAGGGAATGTGAGAGAGCTGTGGAGCCAGCATACTCTGTAATCCAACTCTTGGAAGGCAGAGGCAAGAGGATAGAGAGTTCCCAGGCCAGCTTGATCCACAGGAGGGGGTAAAAGAACACTTGAAAGTGAAACACAGGGAAAAATCTGAAGGCGTTTCAGTTTTAAACAAGGGTGGCCATATAATTTATAACTGAATAAAATTTTTATATACTTTGTTATTTGAACAAGACATCCAGAGATGGAGACAGGAATGACTATGAAAACAAAGTGTAAATTGGGACAGTCTTCATACAAGGATATAATATATCTATTTCATTTGTAGTATAATTAAATATTTCAAGTTGTAGTTATGTGTTAAACATTATACTGAGTTAAGTGACACTGTGTTCACTTTATAGTTAATAAAACCAAACTCTGGGGAGTTAAAATAATTTGCTTACAATTCTCTGTGGTGGCGCAAATTGGAAATTATATTTGTTTAACTATTGATACAATCTATGTCAACTGTAATTTAGGCTGACCTTAAGTTCTTCTTTCTGCCTGTGCCTCCACATTGTTGGGATTGTGGCTATGGCTCATCACACCTGTCTCCAGCTCACTGTTTAATACCACATTGTACTACAGTTGCTGTGAGTGTGCTATGTACTTTAAAATATACTTACTTTAAAGTCATGGTGAGTTGAGGGAGCTGAGAGTATGATAAAATATAACATTAAGTTTGATAATTACATTCTGGAGTGTTAGACCATGTCATAAGCATTTCACAGATACTAACCTAATTTAAACCACACAGTAATTTTATGGATTATTTTTATTGTACAGTTTAGCAAATTGAGGCTTGGCATGGGTGTGTAGCTTGCTTAAATTTAACCCGTGTAATAATTGACAGAACTAGAATTCAGACTGTAGATTCTATCTCCTAAGCTGCTGTCACATACTTCTTATAGTCCACAAGCATTAGTAAGTAGTTGTATCCTTTCCACAGGTTATATGGCTTTGTCTTCCCACCAGTAGGTCATCTCTAATAACCTCACCTCTTTTTTTCTATGTGTGATAATAGGACATTTGCGCCCTTTCCTACCAGGTTTTGAAACTTCAACAATTAGTAGTAAGCCCCTTTAAAAAAATTTTTTTTCCTTGTTTATGTCTTTAAACTGTAGAAATAATTCCTGGAAGTGCAGTCTTTGTACCATCACTAACCCCACTACATCTAGGAATGTGAACAGCACCAACAGATACAGCAAGATGTATCAAGATTGTAGCATTAACGGTGTACCGATACATGGATACCCAGATAAGTTTTCCCTTAAGCTGCTTATGTGAATGGTTATGTTCCTGTAGTTTGTTTGCAGAGGTTCATTTCAGTGGTTGTAGACATTATAGTGATTGTGATTTTTGGACAGATCTAAAATCAGGAGCTTGCACTAAATTTTTGACCTATCTGTATTTGGGAAGGAAAAAAGAGAATGGCTGTTTGATTTTTAAATGACCGAGAACATGGGGTGTGTACATGAGGGTTTTTTGTTTGTTTGTTTTTTGAGACAGTGTCTCACTGTGTAGCCCCAGCTGGACAGACTGGAATTCAGAGATCTGCTCGCTTCTGCCTCTCAATTGCTGGGATTAAAGTCTTGTGCTACTACACCCAGTCTGTAAGTATGTATTTTTATTAGATTATTTAAAATAATTTAATAGGATCAAGTCTGCTAAGGTAGGTTACTATTCATTTGGGAAAAGTGGGAACTAAATAAATTTTTTTCTGTAAAACTTAGGGGTTTTCCTTATAGTTTGGTCACTTTAACCTTAAAGCTTTTGAGTTACAGCAGATTTGGTCCCTAAAACTGCTGAGAGGATCTAAGGGTTAGAAGGATCATAACTGGAGTTTCACTACCAGAGGGACCTTTAGTCACGATCCGCCATCCTGATAGTAGCTACTGAAGCAGGACGCTTTACTTCAGGTGGTGACACAAAACAGTATTCCAGTGGCTTCCCCTCACCCACCCTGTCTAGCTGGAATAAGGACAACATGCCTAACTTTTCTGTGACTGCCGAAAGTGTCTGAAGATGTCGGTTCATTCACAGATCATCCTTTCGTTCATGGCACTCTGATGGAGACTTTGGAAAACAAAAAGTTTCTGTGCAAAGAGTGCTATAATCTCAAACTCAGAGAGGTGATGCAGAGTACACTGTCTTCTCGCTGGAAACAGTAGGTGGGAAAGGTAGCATTTAATGTGGTACAAAAAGCACCACCACATGCCAGGTCTTAAGGTAGATTGTAGCTTCATGGCTTCTTGTGGGGGGGGGTGTATCTAAGGAGGATCTAGTACATGCCAGTAACAGGCTCATGAATGTTTTTGGCATGCGTACATTAAAGTGCAGTTTTGGCTGACAAATTAATTAAAAAAATATGATTCCTACTAAATGTAATAAGGGACTAAGGAACTATACTGACTAGAATTGAATGAATAATAAATAGTCTATTGAATTTCCTTTTTGTGAATGCACAATTACACTGGGGTCCAGTGCTGTTTTAGTACATACTTTCTTTGTGATCAGCAGTTAGTGTTTTTGGTACCTAACACTATATGCATTTTTGAAAGTCTTTTTTGAAGAGATTGTGACCATGCATTGAAAAGGTTGAGCTTTCCATGTAAATCAGTCTTGCTAAATTATCAACCAGCAGTCAGTAATTGGTTTTAAATAGAGTAATTGAACATTTTGAAAGTGTTCAATTAGATAAACTTTGCCATACATATATGCCTATGAAGTGATACCACACTCAAGCAACTGATAATCTGAGGCTGGGAGTCAGCAATAGACCAGAGCTTGCCTGAGACCCCCAAGGCTGTGGTGTGACCTCAGAACCACAAAAACTATTTACTGTAATGGAAATATAATTGAAAATATCTGTCACCCCTAAAGTTTTTCTTTTATCACTCTATTTTGTTTTTAAAAATTATATTTGCTTCTTTATTGTATGTGTATATGTATGTGTATGTATGTATACATTTATGTGGGGTATATGGTGCATATGTGCACATGTGTGGAGGTCAGAGGGCAATTTGAAGGAATTGGTTCCCTTCTTTCACCATGAGGGTGCCTGAGGTTGAACTCAGACTTCACAACAAGTGCCCTTACCCAGTGAGCCATCTTACTGACCCCCTCCATTGTATACTTTGAGGCAGTTTCTCAGTGAACCTGGAGCTTGGCATTTTGCCTCTACTGGCTGGCCAGCAAGTCCCCAGAATCCATCTATCTTACACCCTCACCACTGGGGGTACAGATGTTTGGCTCTGCATCCAGCTTTTTGTGTATGCTGGCCATCCGTACTCAGGTCCCCGTTCTTGGACAGCAGCTTTACCTTTGAAGCTCTCTACAGCCACTGTAGTAGTCCATGCAAAGTTGTAACCAGGCGTGTTTAACCTGGTTTTTGATGTTGCCAGAACCAGGTAGTTAAGTTATACACACACCAAGCACACACACACACACACATGAACACACACACAAAGTCTCCTACCATTTTAATCAGTTTACAATTCTTTATTGGGTTGTATTCATAGTTATCCCAGGGCTCCTGTGGGGCACGGCTGCCATTCCTGAATGAAGGTATACTCCTGTTTATCCAGTCATCTATCTATAGGCAATTGGGGTTGTTTCCTGCTGTTAAATAAAGGAAAAAAAAAAAAAAACAAAACTTTAGGCAATTTAAATAAAGCGGAATTTGAGTAAAGAATGAATTTTCTGAATTATTTATTGTATGTGTATATGTATGTGTATGTATGTATACATTTATGTGGGGTATATGGTGCATATGTGCACGTGTCATAAAAATCATAAATAAATAATCATAAAAAATCATATCCAGAGAATTTTGTCTACTGGGCATTGAGTATTTTTGACAAAAGGGGAAGTAAAGTAGGGTCCCTTTCTCTACCCTTTCTGGGTGTGGTCTGCTCTGTTGGCAGCCTGTGCTTGGCTGAATTTGGCTGCTTGTGATTTTGAGACTCAGCTGTTTGTTCTGCCAGTCAGTTAGGGTTTCTGTTCATTTATATAGTGAGTTAGGTTGCATTTCTTTAATTTCTTAAAATTTTATAAGCTTTAATTTATTAAAAAAAAATCCTTGCAAATAAATTAAAACATCATTCACCAAAATTAGCCAGACCCAAACTCTATACTAACATATTTCATAGTATAGGAATTCAAAGTATATAGGTAGCTTCAAAGAAGTGGTTTTCTGTGTATTCATTTTATCATGTTACAGATAAATTACTGTTATAGTTTCAGAGATGTGCACTTTTGTTTTTTTAGATAATTCCTAGGAATGCAATAGCTGCATTGTATGACAGAGTGTGTGTTTATCTATATGTTTTTAAAGCAACTGCAAAATTAAAAATAATAAAAGCCTAATGGCTGTGCATTTCAAATTTGTCTCAGCAGCATTTGGATGAGACAATGAGTTGTTTCTACTTCTGCTGTAGTTTTTGGTGCTAAGGTTAAACCTGGGCTTTGTGCATGTAGGGCAAATGACATCTCAAGCCTACCATAATTTAAACAGTTGAATATATAGACAATTTTAGCAAATGAGTTGATGCTTAGGGAGGAATTACTATTTGTTTGAATGGCTGGAATGGGAAGAGAATGACTTGTCATGGTGGTGCTTTTAGGGGTGAAGACATTGGAGAGTGATGGTGTGGTCCCTGAGATGAGCAAGAGTGGGCAAGCAGTGATCAGATTACCAGTTGAGTGTGTACATGCTGGAGCTTAGGCCTGATGTTTGCTTAGTGCTCTAAGTGTTTATTTGGGTGTTTGTGTACGAAGAAATCGCTTACTTTGCTAGAGGCTTGCTCAGACAGCTCCTGACTTTCAGAAATAGAATGCAAATCTACAGCTTTCTGACTCAAAGCTCAAGTTTTTATCTCTGTCATTTTACATCCCTAAGTCAGGAAAACATATTTGACTCTGACAGTAATACAGTGCTCTCGGCAAGCTATTAGAAATACATACTGGAATTTGAAAGCTCGGATGCGTATCTGGTCCTGACAAGAACTGTGAACTAAGTCACGTTGCAGAGTGGCAGCTTCTATGGAGAAACACGGCGCCCAAGCCCATCAGGAGTTGACAGTTAATCCCATCTGATAGCACTCCGTGGAGGAGCAGGCCTGATGTTGTCCGCTTTCATTTTTCAAGAGAGATTAGAAATCTGAATTTTTTTTGTGAAGACTTCAGGTTTGTCAATGTAGGAAGGTGTTCTTTAACACGGTGTGTAAGCCAACCTTGTGGATGTCTCCAGAATAGACATGTGTAGGGGACTGCCCCTGGAATGAGTTGTACCTTGCATAGCATGGAAGCAATGATCAATTTATATGATGAGAAAAGGGTAGCAACTTTGTAATAAGCACATTACAGGCATTAAAAAGTAGGTTATTCTTTTAAACATGGTTCTTATGTGTGGTCTAGCATTTGAGCTCCATTTTCATGTGTTATCAGTTAATTATATAGAGGGAGAAATTGCTCCCTGCAGCTTTTGCCTCCTAATTGCATGCTTTCGTTTGCAGATTGGGTCAGTTTTGAGTGAAACGTGGAAACCAAGCGAGAAGAAATCTTCAAGGAACTTCTGCTAATGAATCTTCAGAGTCACCTGTGTGTGTCTTACGGACTAATCTCCACTCAGAGACAGCGGAATAAGTGTCCCCATTGATGAGTGGTAAGTCTGTGTCCACTGATGACTAGACATCGAAATTCCCACAGAAGCAGTCTGCTTTCTTCATGTTGTTAGCACTGATTTGTCGGAGTTCTCCCCTCCAGTATTTAAGGCGTGGTTTCAGAGTGTGGCTTTGATCCTCAGGTTAAGCACAGCCTTCCATTGCCTGCAGTTTTCTCTTCACTTTCAGTGATGGTCATGTCAGTTATTTATCATTTCATGGCCATCTTCTGTGTAGTCACAATACATTCTACGTTTTATCAATAAAACTTTCCAATAAAGGTTATCTACTCTTCAAAGTCATTTTAATTACCTAACCCTAACCATTAAGAATCTACTGGGCATGGTCGTGCATGTTTTTAATTGTAGGCCTTGGGAGGCAGAGGTATCCTGGTCTATTTTGTGAGGTCCAGGATAACCAAGACTACATAGAGAAACCCTGTCACAAAGGAAGAGAAAAGAAAAACCTGGAAAATGTCTCTAGCCAGAACCATGTTTATTCTTTCTTCATTGTGCAGTCCAGTACGTGACAAAAATGAAGATTGTTGAGGCAAGGTGTAAAAGACAATAGCTCCGTCCATCATAGTCGCAGGAGTAGAGAACACGTCCCCCCACCCTCTTCTGGGAGGAAGAGATGGTGCTTCCCACCGCGCAGTCAACATCGGCAGTAACAGGGAGCTTTAGAATTCTAGAGATTGTTTTGGCTACACATTTTAAATAAAATAGAAATACTGTTTCTCTAAAATAAAGGAGAACTTATAGCTGGCAAATATACCAATTTTTTAAAAATAAAACAGCGTGTACTGACTAAGGACAAAGCCTATTATGAGAAAAAATAGAAGATTATTTTAAATTTCTTTTGCAAACACTGAGAGTGAACATTTTATGTAGAGCTTGACAGGTACAAGAATTGAAAAGTAGAGGGAAAGTACCTGTGTGTATTAAATATACTTAATCTCTGATTTGGTTTTGATTGCAGTGGATAAAATGCCAATAATTGTGTGCTTTTAGGTCTGAGTCTCGTTGTGCCTGTGTTCTCTGACCTGAAGCACATGTGTGTGGTCAGGTCCTCCAGGGAGAACGTCCTCACTCTCCTTTCTTGCTTTTTTATACTGTAAGTGCATTGCTGGGGAACAGACTACAGTGTACTCCAAGGAGTGTCTCTAGCTTGTCTCTAAAATCATTGGTATTAAAATCATTGGTGTTCTAAGGTTCTCCATGCTACAAAAGTTTTTTCTAGTGCCCTACCAACACTGAAAATACTAGTTAGTAAAAATCTGGCCTTGGTTTTTACTTTGCCTTTGAGTATTTATGTTTACATTCAGTTGAAAATAGCTAATCTTCATAGATTTACATTAATGTTTCTCAGAAGGTAAATTTAGTCATAAATTGCTCTCAAGGGTAAGGCCAGCAGAAGTTTCGTGAGAGAGCTGGAGGGCATGTGGTCCTAATGAAAACAGAGGAAAATAACCCATCCATAAAATTCTCCTCTAAGCAGCTGTTAGGGCCCTTAGTACAATAGCAAAGTGAGTGAGTGAGTCCTTTCATTTTCCCGTTTTTGTTTGTGAAATTACCCTTGGTTGTTGTTAGACAGTGCTGAGTCTTTTCCCCAAGTGCTGACTCTTTACAAGTGTTGTTTCTCAAGTCACATCCATGCGTGAGCACAGCTGTCGTTCATGGCCACACCACTGATTTTACACTCATTTGAAAAATAACCTGCTAGGTTCAGGTTCAGTGCTGAACAGTGTTCTCTGTCATGACTTCTTATACTGTTTGTAAGGCTGAGCTGCTGCCTTTGTCTTGGTGTTTAAGTTGGCCAAGAGGGATGTGAGTAGTTGTGTGCCTTGGGAAGGGAAGGGTGGAGAGTAATCCTCACTGTGAGTTTTGAGAAGAGATAATGAAATCCTTTATATCCTTTTCCATAGACCAGCATTTCAAAGACTCCATTTTAATAAGAATTGATTGTGCAGCTGCAGCCTTGGCAACAAGGCCTGGGTGAGAAGAATTGGGGCAGAATTCCAGAAACAAGCCTTCAGTGGTCTCCTGTGGAGCTGTGCTAATGAAACAGATGAGAACATAAAGCATCTCAGAGAAATAAACCTAGCACTTTGTGTTGGTATAGAGGATGTTGAAATAGCTGTCATAAGCTATTTATTCAAGAGTAGCTATGTTATAGTCTTTGAGTATAAAAAAATCTTGTATATCCTTTCAAGTTAATATTTCTGTGACTTACATGTAAAATGTAATTGTTTCTGCCCGTTTTTGGTGAAGTTCAGATGTTTTCAATACATGGTACCAGATTAATCAGATATTTTACAGACAAGATTTGCTGCTGAAGAGACAGCTCAATGGTTTAAAAGCACTGGCTGTCTTTCAGAGGATCTAGGTTCAGGTCCCAGCACCCAGATGGCAGCACACAACCATCTGTAATTCAAGTTTGAAGGGATCTGATGTCCTCTTTTGATTTCCGTGGGAACCAGGTACACGTGGTACACAGATATACAGGCAGGCAAGATACCCATACAGTAAAATAAAAACAAATATCTTTAAAAAGAGAAGCAAGATTTCAATTATTTTTAATAACATTAGACTTTAAATGGGCATATTATTTTCATACAAGTTTCCTATGATTGTTGCAATATTAGAATGCTTTTAAGCAATACAATTTGTTAAACATACTCTTTTAACACTGACATGACTGTAAAAGCTGTCATTAAGCCAGAATTCAATATCTGGCCACGTGACATTAGTTTGTACCTGGGTTTTTAAATCCTGTTTTAAGAAGTATTTCAATGAATAATTTTTGTGCATGTAGGCTTTTTGTTTTGTTTTGTTTTTCGAGATGGTTTCTCTGTGTAGCCTTTGTTGTCCTGGGCTCACTCTGTAGACCAGGCTGGCTGTGAACAAACAGAGATCCCCCTGCCTCTGTCTCCCAGGGTGCTGAGATTACAGGCGTATACCACCATGTCCCCTTTTTGGGCTCCACATAGAAAAAAAAATTTTTTTTTTCAGGTTACTTTCGTAAAAGGACTGAAATTCGCATATGTGTGGTTGCCAGTTACTTTCCTATTGCCGTGTCGAGACACCATGATCAAGGCAACTCATAGAAGAGTTTGTTTGGGACCTATGGTTTCAGAAGGTTAGAGTGTAGTGAACGGAAAGTAGCAGGTGTCCAGAGCAGCAGCTGAGACTCACACCTTGAACCTCAAGCAGGAGGCAGAGAGCAAACTAAGAATGGCACTAGTCCTGAAACCTCAAAGCCTGTCCCCAGTGACATACCTCCCTGAACAAGGCCACACCTCTTAATCCTTCCAAACAGTAACACCGACTGGGGACCAGGTAGGCAAACATGAACCTGTGGGGCCGTTCTCGTTCAGACCATGACAGGTACCACCAGCTGGGGCCCAAGTATTCAAACTTGAGCCTCTGGAGGCTGTTCTCGCTCAAACCACCACAGACATTTTCCCTGTTCACTTCCCAGCACTGAGTACAATCTCATTTTAAAATAGAATATGTATGAAATGGTAGTTGCCATTTTGAGCTTTTTTGAGCAGGTTATAGTTTATTAAAAATAGTTTTAATATATATTTTAGCACAGCATTAAGAGAGACCAAGAGGGACGTGGAGAAATATAGTAGTACACCATTCATTGACTTCTTTAGAAGGTCTCCCGTTTCCATTTCTTTAATTAGAAGCAGTGAACATTTTTAACTTGTCATCTTCCCCTGTGGGTTTTCACATTCAGTCCTTCTTTATTTCTCTCCTGGAAAATCCATTAGTTTTATTTTTAGTTAGTAGCCTCAAGAATCTCTCAAAAGTTAAAAGTTTCCCATTTAGTCTTTATATATATAGTTTAATGTGTTTCAGGTTCTGTTTATAGCCTGAACAAAGCACACAGGCTATAAATAAAAAGTAGGTTCAGGCTCCTGACAAGGTCCTTGAATCTCGTTTTTCCAACACTTCCTCCTTGACCCTTCCTGCTGTGTTGTGGATTTCCACTGAACAGGCAAGCTAGCCTAGTCTAGCCTCTTGTTTCAACGAGCCAATGGTCATTTCATTCTTTGGTACAGTAATTGATTCCAGTGACCACATCAGACAAGCTGATCCAATTAAATTGCTGCCTTAAATTTTTATTTATGTCTATTACCATTAAGTTGTATTTAATCCTTTCCTACCCAGTGACCTACCAACCCTCACCCCCAAAGAGGATCTCTGTGCAACTCTGGCTGGCCTTTGGATTCTGAGTCATCCTGACTCTGCCACCCAGGTACCAGAATTACAGGCATAGATTACCATGTCCAACTTGTATTCTTCGAATGGTTTAAAAATTTTTAAAATTGGTGATGTTAATAAATTTCCTTATAAAACAGAAGATTCCAGCAATACTATAAACCTCTCCAAAAAAAAAAAAAAAAAAAAAAAGGAGAAAACAAACATTTGAATATCAGTCACACATACTAAATACATTTTGACAAAGATTATCCATTTCCAGGGGATCCGTTGTCCTCTTCTGACCTCCCAGGAAGCAGGCATGGAAATGGTACACAGACATATATTCATATGTATACATTCATATACATAAAACAAATAAATGGAAAAAAAACCTTTTAAATAGAAAAAAGTTTAAAGAAACCAAGAGAACTCCTTACAGAGTGTGGTGTAATTCTGTTGCTACAGCATATTTTATTAAAAACAAAAAGGTTTCCCTCTAAAAACTCATTTGACAGTTGAAAAGACCGTATTTATTGGAGGAAAATATCAAGTTGACAAGTCTGAGGCACTTGGCACCAGGCACATAGCAATGAAGTGTAGAACCAAGTGCCCTTTTGTCTCTGGGGAGTAATCTGAAACAGGATTAAAGCTGCCCTCCACCTTGCATTGTTTACACCCAGATAAGCCACTGCAGTTTGTGTTGAACTGGCTTTCATGTCCCAAGGGACTGATAGGGACTTCTTTGCATGGCCAAGAAGCATGGGTTACACATACAGCTCCTTTGTTAAGCT